TAGGAAATAATTTTAATTAACTGAACATTCGAATCAGTCTCATAAAATTTGTCTTAACTAAGTAGGCGATAACTTTTTGAATTGTCAACTGTTCATCTCCAAGAAATGGCCAGACAAAAATAATCATAATTATTTTACATCACCAAGTCCACGATATAGGCATGATGTCGCCAATTTCGTTAATATTAGTGAGAGGCTGCCTTTCTTTCGTTTAATTTATTGTGATTTTGTATTCTTTGAACTTCATATTTTGAAGGAAGTGGTTGATTTACATCTTTATTTTCATGCAACTAATTAGTGCGGGGTCGTCATGTTTTTCACTCGATAATACTTTCGCCTGATATGTAAAACTTGCACGGTGTGTTCATTGATTCCTGGAGCATTCTTAAGAATAAATCTCCATTTCTGAATTCTGTGCAAGGAGACTTAATTGAATGTGAATATTCGCAGGACCTTCAAAGATATCTAGACGAGTCATCAGACGGTGTGATTTTCTTTAGTATGGGATCCAATTTACGTAGCTCTAATATGAAAAACGCGACGAGAAATGCTTTCCTCCAAGCGTTCTCTAAACTGAAGCAGAAGGTACTGTGGAAGTGGGAGACGGACTCGTTACCTGGGAAACCCAACAATGTCAAACTTGGAAAGTGGCTGCCACAATCCGACATATTAGGTAAGTTTTCACGATTTATTATGAACTAGCGTCCACTTAAGTTAAATTTGAAATGCCTACTTCAGAACATTTTTATGCTGTTGTCTTATTTTGTCTTTGCCTGCTGTTAGTGGTGTTATTAATGTAAGAAAATTCGTGCTTCTCTCTCTGATTAAGATTACCAGACGCGATATTAGGCACTCTCTGCGGAATCAGTTAATTCCTAATTATCGGTTTAAGTAAGATTGCCGAAAATGTATACAAGAGTATAAAATTTAAAACCGTCACTTTACTTAGCGCACCCGAATGTACGACTCTTCATGACGCATGGCGGGTTGCTGAGTACTCAGGAAGCAGTTGTTCGAGGTATACCAATTGTGGGGATACCAATATATGGTGACCAGGGTTACAACTTGGCCAAGATCGTTTCTGCTGGTATAGGAATAAAATTGGACGTTGCAAATATCACGACTGAATCTGTGTTGTGGGCGGTAAATGAAGTGTTGAACAATCCAAGGTAAGATAATTCTAACTATATGAAACGTAAACCTGGAAATTTTTATTTTATGACAAATGTGGCAAAAGAAACAAACTTATTTAGGCTTAAATGAATAATTTGCTAAATGCCAAAAATATTTCTTTATAATATAACGTTTATTTTTAAGAGAACCAAACTTCATCGACGAATTAGTTGCAGCGGTAATTCCGCCAATTTGGTGAAGGTATCTACGGCTCTATAACTCATTGTAGAAATATGATACATTTTAAATTTACGAAATAAATTTTTACTGACAGTAAATGCAGAGACTGAACTTAGCATGAGAGAAGACATATTGAATATGAAGGTCAAATTCCCAGATTCCACCGCATCCCACAAAGTCATGTATAATGTTACAGATACCGTGAAAACATGCAACGTCTGTCCCGAATCTACCGGGACCAGCCACTCACCCCGCTGGAGCAGGCCGCGTTCTGGACGGAGTACGTGATCAGACACAAGGGAGCTCCTCACATGCGCTCCGCTGCACTCGACCTCTCCTGGTACCAGTACTTCCTGCTAGATGTCATCGCTGTGTTGTCTTTAGTAGCAGCGTGTGTTCTGTCTGCTGTATTTCTCATTTCCCGAGCAGTTATCAGGAGAATATCTTATATAACCCCACGAATAATAGTGCATGGCTCCAAAAAGAATAACTGAATAATTTTCGATCCAGGCGATAATTATTGCCACACTTCAGAAAGAAATTTCTAAGAGTGTGTAACTTTAGTTTCGATTAAAAGTAATATAACGATTATAATGTATTATGCAGAATATATTCATAAATTGGGACCAAATTGTTGGTTGTTTTCTGTTTATATCCGTATCCTTATAAATTTCAAGCACATACAATTTTACCAACGTTTTGGAGAACACCGTGCCTCCATCTTCACGGTAGAAGTGAGCTGGGAAAGATAGGCGCTGCATAGAAGAGAAAGAAGCAATTATGGGGGAGGACGGGAGAATTTCTTCCGAAATATTCGTAACCATCTTCCAGCCTGCGCGGTTTCATTACCCACAAGGCCAAAATATACATCTTCACCTTCAAGAGCATCTCACAATTTATTTTATTTCATTTTATTTTTATAAAATTGCCTAACGTTCTGGTTTAAAGTTATTATTTGTTTAATTACATTTTCATTCCTTCAAGCAATGCTTGTTGTTTTTCACTTCCAGACTCCATGGCCCAACTGAGAATGAACTAACATTAATAACATGACATACTGATGCACATGATTGTTCGCTGGAATTTTATTAACTCACAGTCATCATTCTTTGCCAAAACATAGGGAAATCTGAGTATCTTCGTCTGGTGGCCAGATTCTGTAGCGTGAGTGTCATGATCAGACTCATAATACTGAAGTACTTTTAATTTTATCGAAATATAATCAACTTCTGACATCTTTTTGTGACGCAATTTCTCGCGAGAATGACAATGCATATTGATGATACTGTGAGACTTATTCTGTTTAAAGTCAATATGTTATCGGAAATTGAAAAGGCCAATGTTATTATCAGAACCGAAAATACTGGTTTAATATAATTGTTTTGAAAATATTTTCACCGAAAATCCTGTGATAGAAACAAACTTATTGGAGGAACAAAAGGAAGATGTATCACGCACAAAACAGCTCGTCTAAAAACACTCTTTGCTTACAAGAAATTTCAACTCGCTTGCATTTTTGATAAGGTTGATTGTATTCAGTTTCTTGAGTGCAGAATTAAATGTATGTATACATAGGTGTATGGTCTTAAATGATGTTACTGCTGTACAGAAATATGGAATTATGTGCAGATGACAAGGATGCACTTTACAAATAAAATTATATTCACTACAAATTTATTCTTGTCTCTCACTGGACATGTCATTTCTTTCCAATCACACCTAATCCATTTCAAAAAGAAAGTCACGGTATAAAGGGTACAAATGAGCAGTGTAACATAATGTTTGTTGCTTGAGCTAATTTGAAAAACGTGTTAAGCGACAGAATGAGTGTTCAGTCTCCTTATCTTGAGTTACCGGTATCTCATAACAAAAAGATAATGTATTTCCTATCTTACTTCTATATATAGACATTTATCTGTTGAGTATATCATGTTTATTAAGTTGGTGAGTTTCGTACTGGGAACATTTGTTGCACAGGAGTAACAAAATGGCAGTAAGATTAATTCGTTTTTCAGTAATGTTTGGGAAATTTAGTGTGAAAAGTGTTATGAACATCATTGCCACGGAGAAACAAGATTATACACTGCTTCAAAATTAATTTGAGGAAGCAGGATAATTCTGCGTGTCATCAAAACGATCATTTCGTAATCATATCCATATATTTTTGTAGACCTTTCAGGAGTTGACGGTGGTAATGTATATAGCTCTTCTGATTGTTCAGTTTTTGACTATACCTGAAGTGCCCAGACAAAGATAATGTTCATTTGTTTTATATGAAATATTAAATTTCTATAAATAATGATTTAAAAGCATTGTAATTATAAACAAAGGTAGGATAAAAAGTAGTGGCAACACCTCTATAGTTCTGAAATGACTTTCTTACCTGAGGTAAACACACATTCCTTCAATATAATCCCCCCCCATGTGTACCACCTTCTGCCAAATTTGTGGAAGGCGTCGTACACCATCAGCGCGTCCACTTCTGTTGATGTCCAGCAGTGACCGCCCTACAGCACGAATAATCTCCTCTCTTGTGTTGTAACGTGTCCCTCGCAGTGGTTCTTTCATTTAGGCAAAGAGATCATAATCGCACAGACTCATATCGGGTGAGTATGGCAGATGTTGCAGTATCTCCATCGCCAGTGGCGAAGGAGATCATTGACAGCGTCAGCAGTATGATCCCTTGCATTGTCATGAAGGAAGATGGGATTCGTTGCCAACAAGAGTTTTCGCTTTCTTCTGAGTGCTGGACGAAGATGATTACGCAGCAAATTACAGTAGTAGGCAGCGTCTGTAGTTGTCTGTAGTTGAGGTGCAGTGTGGTGCAGTATCACTCCATCAGTGTCATATGCCACAGTGAACATCTCTGTGTAGGGCGCACCTTCTTTGGACGAGGAGGGCCAGGATGCTTCCATTCAGTTGATTGTCGCTTCAAGTGCGGTTCGTATGAGCGAGCCCAAGTTTCGTCCAGAGTGACGATCCTTCCAAGGAAGTCGTACCGGTCCAACAAGTCCTGTGCAATTGCATAACGTTGCCATTGTTGCACCTCGGACATTGTATGGGGTACCCAACGCGCTGCAGTTTTGCGGTATCCAAGAATATCGTGCAGAATGTGAAGCACGGGTTTGTGACATACGCCTACCTCAGCAGCTAACTCCAGCGCAGCCCATCGACTATCGACATCCAGCAAAGAAGCAAGAAATTGAATTGCGATGTTGTCAACGTGGGTTCATCCTGAACGGCATGCCGCCCTTCACGGAACAATTTGACGAATCGTGCCACTGTGCGATATGGCAAAGCAGCATCACCACATGCTTCTCGCAGTCCCTGATAACAGTTTTGTGCACTACGACCTCGTGCAACTTCAATTTTTATCCAGGAGCGTTGTTCTTGTTTCGCAAACTTGTTGTTAGGGTGCTTGAACTGGGCTCTTGCACTTCAAGACGATGCACAATGCAACTCAATGAAACACAACCAGAGCCACTCACTGTACTACTTCACCTGAACTTCTGCTATCAGCTACAGACGGCGCTAGTGCCACCTGACGCACCTTTCATGTTACAGCAGTGTTGCTACTACTTTTTATCCAATCCCTGTGCCTGATTTATGTGTTGTATGTGTTAATATAAAATGGCGAACAACATGTTCGATTCCATTGTATGTTTCCTCTTCATAGTCTGCATTTCTTGTAAGACCGAAAACACATTTAAATACTCTGTATAACAATTTGTGCTTCTGTTTAATTACTCTTGTCTAGATGCGCACACAAGGCCTAGTTCTGCTGATGCTTGTAACAGGTGTCCATGTATCCAACGGAGCCAGAATCCTAGGACTTTTCCCATTCCCTGGAAAGAGTCACATGACAGTAAATGCAGCCTTAATGAAAGAATTGGCCTCTAGAGGCCATGAAGTGACAGTGGTCAGCCCGTTTCCGCAGAATAAAACAATTCCGAACTACAAAGACATTGCTCTTGATGCAAATTTAGATGAAAAAATTTCGTCTGTGACTCGTAAGTAGTAGTTTAATATTATATATAGTGTCGATATTGAGAGCGTCGCTAAACAACAAACAAAGAGTCGCAATATTAAAGTGATAATAAATAAATTGCTGCTTGAAATAAAAATGAGGACAATGAACCCCCATACACATGCAGTACTGCTAATTTTGTCATCTTGAGGGACGGGAACTAACATTGCTAACACAATAAAACGTCACATCAGTTCGATACAGAAGACAGAACCTAAGATACAGTTTAAATATATTCACTTTCCTTCGTCATGTCAACTAAAATAAGGACTTTTGTCACTAGGATCTCTATCAGAATACATGTTCACTTTTTGTTGTCGCCATTTTCCATCAAGAGAAAGTTGCTTACCATATAATTGACTCTATTCATCAGTTACTTAATCCTTTGTAAAGTCGAGAATTTTTTATTTTAGTACTTTAAAAATCCTTGTAGTGTTTGTTCTTTACCACGCTTAATAATTTATTGGTGTTCGGTAAGAAGCATTTCGGTAAGAAATTGTTACCGGCAGCACAGATTGTCTGAGAACCTGTGTCAAAACATGTCATTATTTCTGACTCAAGGACTGAGTATCCTATGTAAGAAATAAGTTTGACTTTTGTTACTGTACGAAAGAAAGAGTTAATAAATCAGTCCACAAATAAGACCGCATTTGACTTAAGTCATTCTCATCGAGCACAAGAAATTAAGATATTTAAATCATTTTTTTTAATTTGATTTGTTTCATTCTGGTCCGTCACACTAACAATTACAAAGACAAAAATAACACCGTCCAGCGTGACTATTTAAGTTTTATCACTTGAAAACTCATCACCCTTACATGTTTCGATCCCTACGGATCATCCTCAGAGGGCAACAATACTTTTTCCGGAAAGTACTAATACAATAGGTGTTAAATTATATACATATATATAACGTCTGAAATACACAATGTACACAATATTCAACTTTCCTCAGTCACAGCAGCCTCCCTGGTATTAAAATTTATTTTGTTTTAAATTTAAAAACTGTGTAAACAACACAGCAAGCCACGAATAAACACGGACAATACTAAGAAGCTCCTTCACAAGATAGACAGGCGGCACAAGATCAGCCACCTCCAAGAAAGACAATAGGAGAATTGACACGAACCTGCATGGTTTATAACAATTTTAATCTTAAACAACAAAGTTTTTAGAAACTTCAAAAAAAAATTAATACCAGGAAGGCTGCTGTGACTGTGAAATGTTGAACATTGTGTACATTGTGTATTTCAGACATTCAAGTATTGATGCCCTCTGAGGATGATCCGTAGGGATCGAAACATGTAAGGATGATGAGTTTTCAAGCGATAAAACTTAAATAATCACACCGGACGGTGTTATTTTTGTCTTTGTCATTTTTTTTCTTGGAATATGTTCGATGCTCTAGTGTTCTTGTCTTGAAGGCAACTCCTTTACACAGATATGTCTATTTAGATGTTAAGGACTCTTGTTCTTAGGAATATCTTCCGTATTGAACGGTTCTGTCTTATGAGATATGAAGCCATGTGGTCCAGTGAATGTCAAACCGACGTTTCTGAGTATTTACGCTTTCATCTTCAAGGTCGAAGGGTAAACCAAGTAAGAATCCATCATCAAGGAGGCAGCAAATAGAAGTGGTTTCTTTCTTGACTTACTCTTAAGTCCTGAATATGAAGGACATACTCCTCCGAGACGCGGGTTTCCTTCCACCGGACTACACGGTATTGCATTCCAGGACACAGAGCTTTTCATATGCCTAATGGGTTAGCGTAGTGATAATCTTCTTGACTTTTAAAATTATACTGAAGCATCCTATTGTACTTTTCACATAGTGTTATTAATTCTACAGTCTTATGCGAATCAATTTATTAAAACAGTTTTTTTCGCTGGCTCTACAGCCCCCCTTGGGCCCTGCCTCTGATTTCTCAGCTTCATGAACATTTTGCAGACGGCAGGGCTCCTTGGATGGGTGATGAGCTCGTTACAAGGCCTCTACTTAAACACAGGATAGCACAAACACAGAATAAACACATACACACACCAAACATCCGTGCCTTGTATGGGATTCGAACCCACGATCCCAGCATCCGAGCGAGCGAAGACAATACATGCCTTAGACTACCGTGACCGGCTTAATAAAAGTTAGCCACTTAAAATTCTTCACGACTAACTAACTTTTATTAAGCTTTAATGAATTGTTGCATATAAGACTGTGGAATTAAAATCACTTAAATCCTTGACATGTATTCAGAAGGTGTTGTGTTCGAATATCGGCTATTCCCACTCACGTTTGTTGTGATTTTCCTGAGTCCCTCTAGTGAAAAGTTCGGAATTGGACCCCGATGAAGTGAAGACAACCTTGCAAATAATTCCCTAATCATCATCCATCCATTCGGCGCTATATATCCTACCCGCTGAAAGCACTGTTAAATAACCCAGCTCTTCGTACACTTTGAGGACCTAAAATTCGACTTCCAGCCCCCCATCTCTTTTTACATCGTCTGAATTGTGAATTTTGAAGTAAGTGAATACAAAAAAGAAATTTATGTATTTATTGCAATGTAATGCCCTTTGAACTTTTTCACTTCCAGATCAAATAAATCCGGACCCATTTTTCTTGCAACAGTTAAACGGCTTTCAGGTGATGTTAATGCTCTGGTGGTTCGGAAACTTCCTTTGCGACTTAGATCTTCAAGATCCAGGTGTACAAGAACTGATACACTCCAAAGATATTCAATTTGATCTTATTATAATGGAAGCATTTTTTAATGATTGCTTCCTTGGGTTCGTACATAAATTCAGAGTTCCTGTTGTTCAGGTTTGCAGTTTTGGTGGCACCGAGTGGATGGGTGACTGGGTTGGTAACCCGAATCCATACGCATATGTACCTAATGTGTACCTGACTTACGGCGACCGAATGACGTTTTGGGAACGTCTTACTAATACGCTTAATGGAATCGGTCAACAGATTGGAAGGAAATATTATTATCTGCCAGAACAAGATGCAATTGCAAGAAAATATTTCAATTACACAGATGATCTTCCTTCGATTTCGGAGTTGGAAACTTCAACGGCGCTTGTGCTTCTTAACCATCACTTCAGTATAAGCTATCCGAAACCACTTATGCCGAATATGGTACAGGTTGGAGGAATGCATATAAAACCAGATAAGACACTACCCAAGGTAACAAGTAGCACTCATTTACTTAATGCTTCTTAATTTAGAAGAAGTTGGCAAAATTATGAACGTTGATTAATGAAACTCAATACACGCTTCATTAAAATTTCAGAAAAAAAATGTGCAAACTAATCAACGTAACACAATGAATGATAAATATTTGTTTCTTCGGATATAAGAAATACAAGTCGTAATCCACATTTATTCATATGTGTGTCAAATGTAATTTAATTTTATTGTAAATTCTATTGGAACTTCTTAAATTTCTAGTGCTAATTTCTATTTCGAATTTATCTTGATTTTTCAAATGGTATATGTATATTACGGGGGGCATGCGGTAGCGGTTGAGGAACTATGCTACAAGCCGAAAGGTCTAGAGTTCAATTCCCGATTAAATAATTATTATATTTTTAAACAGAGAAATATTATCTATTCCAACAATGAGCAGAATTCTCTGATATCCATTCTATTGTCTCCGTCACAGCCACAGGAAACGGTTACTCTCTGGTAAGCTCAAGAATTAAAATATAATTTTAATTTGTCCTAATATAATTTTATTCTGAATATTTTTACGTATCTGAAATATTTATTATGAAATCTTATAAATGGAACTGAGAATATTTTTCTCCTACAGGATATTAAAAAGTTCATTGACGATGCATCAGAAGGTGTCATTTACTTCAGTATAGGCTCAAACTTACAAAGTTCTCAAATGTCAGAAAGCAAGAGACAGGCATTCTTGGAGGCATTCTCCAGATTAAAACAACGGGTACTCTGGAAGTGGGAGACAGATTCTTTGCCAGGGCAGCCTAAAAATGTAATGATCGGCAAATGGCTACCGCAGTCTGACATACTAGGTAACGGTCCCTTTAATGCGCTTTCTCTTGTATGTTTACTTCTAATGCATACCCTTTAAGATATGTAAAAAAAATTGGTAATACACTCTTGTTAATTTTGCAGCCCACCCTAATGTGAGGCTCTTCATTACACATGGCGGACTTTTGGGTAAGCAGGAAGCAGTTCACCGCGGTGTTCCTATGGTGGGGATTCCCATATATGGAGACCAGGCACTTAATGTGGCTAAAGTGGTGTCAGAAGGTCTTGGAGTATTGTTAGAATCTAAAAATATAACTACTGACTCTGTTCTCTGGGCTGTTCAGGAAGTTCTCGAGAATCCTAGGTATTCGAAATTACCTCAATTTGCTTCTCACGTATACAAGTATAATATCAGACTCATAATAGCCAATAATGGTTCCACATTGACACAGGTACCGTGAGAACGCCCAGCGTCTGTCCCGAATCTACCGGGACCAGCCACTCACACCGCTGGAGCAGGCCGTGTTCTGGACGGAGTACGTGATCAGACACAAGGGAGCTCCTCACATGCGCTCCGCTGCAATCGACCTCACCTGGTACCAGTACTTCCTGCTAGATGTCATCGCTGTGTTGGCCCTAGCTGTAGGATCGGCTCTGTTCCTAGTGTACTTGATACTCAGGGCCCTGCTGACAAAATTATTACGTTTCAGAAGAATTCAGCAGCAGAAATCTCTTCCTCTTCTAGAAAAGAAAAGAAATTAGCATTATAATTGATTAGAAATGATATCACGTATCTAAGGAGGTGTGTATTTTAACATGTAAGCCTCTACATTAACACGTTGCAAACTATGAAACGTTTATTTGCCATGGGGCACAACAACTAAAATATAAATAAAAACGTATTACTTTTGCTTTCTGTCGTATCGAACATATGACCATAGCATGGAATTTAATACTATTATTATTTAAAATAATTTAACATTGTCACGATCCTCGAATTTCAAAATAAATTGTTTATTCATGTTCATCCCCTATTGTTTTAATGTTTTAGAAGTGAAAATTAAAATATTTTCACGAATTCATTGATCAGAACAATAACATAAGGTATAATTAAAAATATCCGTCTCCTAAGCTAGATGAGTCGAGTCCGTAGCACCTAATCATATTCCTGTAAGATCAATCTTAATATTATCCTTCTGTCTATGTCTAGGTCGTCCTAGTATTCAGTGGATCCCTCACTCACCTTCCTTACCCCTTTAGCTTGCCACTCCTTTCCTTTGCCCTTTTTCTTTGTTGGGCGCCAGTAAGCTCAAATGGTGTTGGCTCACAATAATTACAGGTTTGACTTAGGAAAGAGAGGTATAGTTAGCGCCTCGTAACTTTAGCCGCGCGGAAAGGTAAACGCTGTTGTGGAGCACGCGAAGCTGTACGCTTGCTGTGGTGACGTTCAGAGCTACTCCCTGAGCGGAAAACATTGCCTACGGAGACCAACTAACAGACAACACAACGTACTATACACCTGACCGCGCCCCAAGACGCTACGTTCCAAACTGGTAGTACCCACGATGACGTAAGCTGATAAGACTGCCCCCCCTCCCAACCTTTTTTTAGTAAAGGTGATGGGTAACAAGTTGAGCTGTTGGTAGAGCTGAGATTCTTGCTCAGGGCCTCGCTCTGGCAGGGAAGGAATGAACTTAGGCACTGTGATCATTCACTAACATTTTTATTTGCTTGATAGCACATACAGTTAGTACATTGTCACGTGTTGGGTGTATATAATGTAACGTGTCGCGAATCCAGAAGAGTCACTTCTATGGAAACGCTAGAACAGACCGTTGCATAGGAAGTAACAATAGCGGCACTGTAATCCCAACAGTGAGCCGTTGTGTAGAGAACACCGAATCTCCACGGTTACGACGAATACGCGAAGCGTTCCCACAGAGACAACGCAATAACAGTGGGTCATTGCGTAGG